ACTGTATGCATGACCAGTTACATGTGAAGTATGTGAACACTGTGTGTGAGAGACTGTATCGTCCCCATAATATTTTTCGGAGACTCCCCTCCAGTCTTGAATATTTGGTTAAAATGTGTTTGGTTAGTATGCATTTCAAACAGTAGAATACTATGCTATGGTCACATGATCTCATTACATGTATGTTTAATTGCATGTTAATTAGTCAAGAAAAACATGTTCCTGGTTGAAAGAAAAAAAATGTATAACAATATATATTTTTTGTTTGTTTGTTTTATTTTATTGTATTTATTTTATTTTTATTTATTTAAATAGTAGGTGATGTGCCATTATAAACGTAAGCATTTTACTTAATTTCTTTCAATTCATTTATTTTAAATTATTTTTAATTTTATTGTATTTATTTTTATTTAATTAATTACATTTTTTAAATAGTTGATTGTGTACCATTCTAAACATAAACATTTTAATTAATTTATTTTAATTTGTTTATTTTAATTAGTTTTTTTATTTATTTAGTTAGTTATTTGTATTTATTTTAATTAATGTAATTATGTATTTAAAAAAATGTATGAATTTATTTTTATATTATTTTTTTTGTTAATAGTAGGTGTGCCATTCTAAACATACCCAAATAATTTTAATGAAAATGCTGCCAATGGATGAATATTGTCATCATTATTATTAAGGCTTAGATTGGATATAACTTTGACTTTATCACTTTCAGTAGGGTTATTTATTTATTTATTTGTTTGTTTGTTTTGATTTGAAAGTTTTTTTTAAATGGTAGGCGATGTGCTATTCTAAACATGTATTTATTTATTTAAAATAATTCTAATGTATTTTATTTATTTATTTTATTTATTTTTAAATAGTAAATCAAATAGCTGCAGATGGGTAAATATCATCATCATCATTATTATCAAGGCTTAAATTGGATGTAACTTTGACTGGGTGTTTATCACCTCCAGTAGGGTTATTTATTTGTTTGTTTGTATTTAAATGCATTTAATTTATTTGATTACATTTATTTTTTAAATTATAGGTGATGTGCCATGTATATATAGTTTTAAATTAGTTAATTATTAATTTATTTATTTTAATTCGTTTTAATTTATTTATTTTAAATAAAATTAATGCATTTATTTGTTTATTTAAATAGTAGATGAAATAGCTTTCAATGGATAAATATTATTATTACTATTTTTTATTATTTTTAAGGCTTAGGTTGGAAGTAACTTTGACTGGATGTTTAGCACCTCTGGTAGGTTTGTTTAGGTCTGCAGACACTGCGAAACACTTGATTTAGGGTTAGGCTGTGAGGATGGTGTTGTGATTTAGCACACAGCATGACAGTATTTCTCAGAGAAAGCTCCTTCATCAGTGATTACTGTTGTCTGGTCTTTCATTCACTGCGCTGGACATAAACATACTGATGGATCGAGTCTTCTCTTTCACCGTGGCTCAGTTTTACAATAGAAAGACTTATAAGAAATTTTCTTCCCAGGTTTCTGATAATGTTCTCTCTTTTTTTTCCATTGCAAATGTTGTTAAAAATAAGTAAGCATTGTGCTTCGTGCTTCGTGAACCAGATGTCTCCTTTGATAATTGTAAGATTTTCTGTCATCCCTCACTCCTTCATTGATTCATTTTCCCATCGCTCATGTGCTGAAACCAGCAGGTTTTGGTCCAGTCTGCTAGATTTGAGTCTTTCTGTTTGTTTCTCTGTCTGTCTCTCTCATTTCTCATCAGCTTCGTCAATCAGCGCTGAGATGTTTGGTCGCTGCGTGATGCTCTCATCGTTAACGTGTCTCGTGTCAATTAGAGTCAGAGCGGCCGAGCGTCCATCACTCTGTGGGAGAGAGAGAGAGAGACGGTCAAAAACCTCTGTAGTTTTGGTGATTTATACATTCATAGGTTCGTCACTCGCCGTTAAGACAAGACACATTAGTCTTCATTCCCCTGATTCACAATAATGTCTTTATAATAAGCCCATATTAGAGAGGAGTTCCACAATCTACCCAGAGCACTTCTCATTTTAATTGCGCTCCAGTCTGTTTCCATTTCACCGTGCTAATTTATTAGAGTCCAAGTGTGTAGAAAGACAGGAGAGAGAGCAAAGTCCTTCGGCTGTGTTCAAAAACTGCCTACCTATATGTATATACAGTGTGTGTGTGTGTGTGTGTGTGTGTGTCTTGTGTCCATAGACAATATCTGGATAAATGGTGCTATAATTTGATGTTTTAATGTATTCATGAGAAATACTGGAGTTTCATTGATGTGAATGGATCTATTAATTTTTTGATAGATAAATAAATAAATAAATAAATAAATAAATAAATAAATAAATACAAATATGCTGTAACCCCCCCTAAAATTGTTATTTTAAAATAAATAAATTGAATTAAATTTTTTATTAATAATAACAATCATCATCGTCATTTGTAATATCAATATTCATAATATTCAGACAAATAAGTATTATTATTATTTGTCTTAATATTATGAATATTGATGATGATGATGATGATGATGATGGTAAAGTATTATGTTATTGTTTTGTTTTTATGTTTTACTACTGCTAGTACTACTACTGATAATAATAAATTATCATCATCATCAACAATAATAGTAATTTATTAGTAGTATGTAGTATTGTTAATATTAATAATAACATTGATATTAATATTAACATGAATATTAATTTCAATATTAATATTGATATTAATATTAATGTTATATTTTTAACATAACACTTTTTTGTTACTGTTTTGTTCAAAAACAAATGCAACTTAAGTACAACAGTTACATTTCTAAGAACTTGTAACTTGAAGTAGATTTGTACATGACTCTTTTTTTTTCATCATCTCGGTTTTCCTGATTCATCATTGACCCCAAAGCTGAATGAAGATGCTGCCATTTAAACGAATTGTACATTCATATGATGCATTAGTTTGTATTATCGCTTGAATCTGAAATGTCTTTCTCTTTTTATCTCTAGCGTTGTCTCTTTCTCGCTATCTGTCTGTCTGTCTGTCTGTCTGTCTGTGATGATACAGCAGTAAAGGCAGACAGTCAGTAATGAGGGTGACTTTTACACATCGCTGCATGATTAATTCAGATGCTTTTACATCTAGTTAATGTTACAGAGAGCCAATTATTTAATCCGAGCTCATGCTGTTTCTCTGCGCTCAGACCGAGCCAGAGCGACGTAATGCTCTGTTTGTCATTACACTGTCCTGGCAGAGGAAAGAGTTATTAAAGACAAACATACGAGCACTAATCACCGTCTGACTGTGGATGAGAGAGAGAGACTGATTTATAGGGCTTTTCTCGTCACTCAATAACAATAGCATCATGTGAGCATATTCCTCTCACATAAGCTTTTAAAAGCTGTGTTTTAAAGCAACTCGAGTGGTTTTTAATAAGCACCGGTGCAGTTAACACTGCGTGCTGTGGCTTCACTCACATTAAGTAGCTTTCAATTGTAGAGGCCATTAACACCCAACTGACCGGCGGCTTCTCTAGAGGATACTTAACATTAGGATTAGCCATTCACTTTCTTCAGCTCTCTCTCTCTCTACACACACTCGCACACACACTAAAGCAGAGCAATTGTAGACTGTGCTCCATAAGGGTGGGAGTCTTTAGGCGATTCATCATTCGATTTTAATTCAGGGAATCACAATATGATTCCAAAATGTTTTTTGAACTCTTTCCATTTTAGAGTTGGCAAGTTTGATTCATTTCCATGAATCAGTTCAATTTGTTGCATTCAAAAGACTGATAAATGATTCTTTTGCATCATCACAAAAATATTCTTGAACGTTCTTGAACA